TTATTATTATTTTGAATAATAATTACTAATTTTATTGTCATATAAAACAAACTTAATTTCAATACGAATGGCTGAGTTCCAAGAACAAGGCAAATTACTCCACGAAAACATAAAAGTCCTTAAAAAGCATCTCTACGCTTTAGACCAACTCTCCACAAACAGAGACGCTCAACCGAAATATAATTTTCCACTGAATATTGATAAAATGAGTGTAAATGAAGCGACGAATGCACTCTATGAATTACTAGAGAAATGCACGAATGGGTTAAATATCTTTTCGAAGTATGCTTGGGAGCTTAAAAAGACGAAAGGTGCGATGGTAGATCTCTGTCATCTCATTGAGAGTTTAAATTTGCAGTGTGAAGATGACAACAAAAAGCTCATTGAATTTAACAATAAGGTTGTCGAGGAGTTAATCAACAAAGAGCAACAAAGACTTTTTACAGAACTTTCACTCAACAAATTTCGAAAGGAACAGTTGACAGAGGAACTTAACGAGACGATATACAACCTTCAATTAATGAAAAAGGAAGAGAAGACTCTTTCAAAGTCCTTTTTAACTCAATCGTCAATTTTTACTCAAACAGAAAAATGTGACACCAAACCCCTTTTAAAAAATTTTCAAAATGTTCAAAAAATTCAAACCGACAAACAAAACACAACAGAAGACAAAGCTTCCTCTCCAAAAAGTCCACCAATAGAAATTTTAAATGCAACGAATGAGCAAAACAAAGGTTTGGCATTTGACCACAAAATTTCTGAAATTGCTGTCCACGAATTGAGGAAAAGCGAAACCCTAGCCACCGACGAGGTCAATTTGTTTGACGACACGTCGAACCTTGTGAGCGAGTCGGAGACGAATAACTCGAATTATGAAATTCATTTGATCAATAATTTATCGCCAATTCAGACGACACAAGAGAAGATTAGTATTAATACTATTAATATTAATAATAATAATAATAATAATACTATAAATAATAGTAATCGAGTCACTTTAAATGATTTAAGTGAGGATGAAAGGAACCAACTTTTTAAGTGGAGTGGGAGAAGTGTGGGAATTCCTTTTGTGGAAATCCCACTTGAGACGCCAATGCTTAAAAAACAACTTTTAAAACTCACGACGACGCGGAACGGATTTTTTGTTGTCATTCAAGACAAAGGAGGAAATTTAATTGGAGGGTTTGTAAGTCATCGAGTTGCAAAGGACGGAGCATTTGTTGCGGACGCGAATTGCTTCTTGTTCACATTAAAAGTCGATGGAAAGGTGCAATTTCAGAAATTCGAGATGGCACGAACAAGACACAAATTCGCGTTTTATATTGGAACAAATCGATCGACAAGACTCATCGACTTTGGGTGCGGAGATTTGTGTCTGATGAGCGTCGGGAGGTTTGGGAAGAGAACAAACGAGAAAGTGACGTACACAATGACGAAACAATCATTTCAGTACGGCGACAAAATCAATTTACTCAATACGTCAAATGAAGAAAATGAAATACTGAGCGCGACGTTCTTTGAAGCAGTCGATGGAAGTCAAAGTTTTTATTAGAATTCTATTTGATTATTAAAAATAAGTGAGAAATATTTAATGTACAAGTCGGTTTACACTGTTTATTTTTTAATGGAATTTATCAAGATTTTAAAACTTAGAAATCAAGTCGATTAACACTTAAAATAACGCTCTTAATTTTGTTTTGGCTTGTTTTTCCTGTTATATAAATCCAATTTTTGATGATTTTTTTATTTTTTGGCTTGTGTATTGTTTATGCACAAAATACAAATACTAAAAAAACAAAAATAATTTGAATAAACTCGAAATTTCCCAATTTTTATGATCATTTGAATTTTGTTCAATGTTATTTAAAGTGTTCATATATAAAAAATAAATATACAAAGTGATTAACATTTAACAAACGGTGTTTTTTATTATTAATATAACATAGTTATCAACATGATTAAACGTTTAAATAAATTAACTATATATATACAGTATTGTTAATACAAATGTAAATGTTAAATATAACTTCTAGTTGAATTATGGGTTTTAGTGACATGGTTATTATCAAACATTGATTGTAACCCATGTCTAATTGATTTGACATTTTGTTGAAACAAAAAAGATCAAATAAAAACAATTGTTATTGATTTTATCGTGTAAATACTTTGATGTTCACATTTTTTATTCATGAGATTTTAGTTGATTATTACATATAAGCGAGATATTCTTTACAATTATTATTTCTTAACTATCGTTTCATTGTTTTTCAAATTACAACATATAATAGTAAACATGAGACGCGACTCATTATATCCATGTTTTGAACAGTTATAAACAAATATTTTTTGTTTTCTTAATGTTATTTAATACTTGTTTTTAACCCATTTTTATTTCTTACTTGTTCTTTTACTTTAAAACTCAAAGTTGTTTAAAAATTTTATTGGTTTTGAAATACTTGTGAGTAAAAAAGTATTTTAATCATTTTATTATGTTTTTTTCATCTAAAAATTTTAAATCCAAACAATGAAAACTAACTCATTTGTATTAATCATTTAACAATCAAAAATAAAGTGAAGTTTCAAATATACAATAAGTGCATTTGCCGGGACGCGAACCCGGATCTCCACCTTGGAAGGGTGGAATTCTGCCCTTAGACCACAAATGCTCACTGAATGTAATTATATATGATAGTTATTATTTCAAGGTTTTCAATATCAAAAAATAAAAACGCCCCCCGGGGGGCTCGAACCCCCGACCTTACGGTTAAAAGCCGCACGCTCTACCGACTGAGCTAGGAAGGCACTCATTAAAAAGATTGTTAATTATATAACATTATAAACTAAAAGACAAGAAGTCGATGTTGGAAGACATTGTTTTGGTGTTTATTGAAAACATCAGTGTGTTATTTGGTGTTAATTTCAAAATTTTATAATATAGAACTACACAATTACTTTGAAATGATTATATATTAAAATAAATTAAAATGGTCCCGGCGGGGATCGAACCCGCGACCCTCGCATAACTCTATTCTATAAGTACGATGCACTACCGACTGTGCTACGGGGCCTTCTTTATATTATAAAAAAGCATGTTTTGGTTAAATGTTTTATACAATTATCTTTATTTATACAAACATTATTTTAAAAACAATTGGAAACCCATTTGTATTTATCAAATTTTTATTATTTAAAGTTTTGGGAAAGTAACAACAGTCAAAAAGTATTTTAAAACCAATTTTTTATAAATTTTGGAATTTTAATCAAAACAATTAATAATGTGAATTATTTTGTTTGGAACTTCGACTAATCCAAATAAGTTTTATAAAAGTGAGTTTAATAATATTCATGAAAACTATAACCCACATAACCAGTAATTAAAATTGTAAGAGTTAGTTTATTTGATTTTATATTTTTTTGTATTTTTAATAATTATAATTTTATCATTTAAATGTTCATATTTTAATATTTAATATAATTAAAGTATAGCATATTTAATAATATTTTATTACAACTTAAAGTATAGCAAGAGTGGCCGAGTGGTCCAAGGCGCTTGTTTCAGGTACGAGTCTTTTCGAAGGCGTGGGTTCGAACCCCACCTCTTGCATTTTATACACTTTTGTTTTTTTATTTTTTGAACAATTGATTTAAATATAGATTGTTTACTTGGAATATGAAAAGTAAAATAAATAAAAACTCCAAAGAGTGAGGCGAACTGAAAGAACTGCCTAACGATATCTTCAACCAAAAACTTTGACCAATTGATATATAAGCAACAAACTTGAAAGAAGAAGACATTCAAATGGGAGAAGAAGGAGCTGAAGTACAAGAACTTGTTGTAGATAATGGATCTGGTATGTTCAGAGCTGGTTTTTTGATAACGACGCATAAAAAGCAGTCTTTCCATCAATTGTTGGCAGACCAAAACAGTTTTTAGTCATGGCTGATACAGGGCACAAAAAAACTATGTTGGAGATGAAGCACCACCAAAGAAAAGTATATTGACAATAAGTATCCAATTGAGCATGATATTGTCAACAATCGAAACGGTATGGAGAAGATCTGGCAGCACACTTTCTACAACGATCTCAGAATTGCACCAGAAGAGCATTCAGTCTTCTTGACTAAAGCCCCAACGTACCCAGAGCTAACAAATAAAAGAAGACACAATTTATGTTCGTAACTTTCAACGTCACGGCCATGTAAGTTGCAAATAAGACTGTCCTTACATTGTATGATTCTTATATTATCAATGAAGAATTGGGACGCAGTGAGAGACACCATCTCACTCCCACAGACCATCCTCTGAATTGATCTTGCTGGTAGTGATCTTACCGACTACCTCTTGAAGATCTCGACTGAAAGAGGATACTCATTCACCACAACTACACAAAGAGAAATTGTCAGAGACATTAAAAAAGCTCTGTTAAATTGCTTTTGACTTAAACATTAAAATGAAGAAGGTTGCTTCATCATAACTCAAAAAGTCATTCAAACTTTCAAATGGTCAAGTCATCACCATTGGAAACAAGAGATTCAGATACCCAAAAGCACTCTTCCAGTCATCATTCCTTGGTATGGAAGCATCAGGTATCCACGAGACAACTCACAACTTAATCATGAAGTGTGATGTTGATACCAGAAACAAGTTATATGAAAACATCGTCTTTTCAAATGGAACATCAATGTACTCAGTCATTAACAACAGACTAGAGAAGGAGATGGTTGCCCTGCACCATTAATAATGAAGATCAAGGTTATTGCACCAACAAAAAGAAACTCTCTGTCTGGATTGGGGGCTCAATTTGTGCTTCATTGTCTATTTTCCAGAACATGTGTATCACCAAGGAATATTACAATGATATTGGAACAGCCATCGACCACAGACTGTGCTTCTAATTTATTTATATATTTTAATTTTTATTATATTAACTTCAAGGTGTTTGTTTTTTAATATTGTTTTAATTTTTATCGGTGTCTTTTTGATAAATTGATACACAAATAATGATTTTATTATAACCAAAAATATTGTTGAAATTTTTAAAACATATATTAAAAACATGTTTAATAATAAACAGTTTTTATTTCCACTTAAAAAGGTCTGTGTTTTTCGAATGATGTTTTGTGATTAAACAGGAAAAAAAATATTTAAACAAATGAATGGAAAGTGTGTTTTAATACGTGTATTATAAAGAAACGCGCACGTTTATGCATGCATTGATAAAGACAATTCAAAAGTTTCTTTAGTTGATAATATATCAGTGACCAAATTTACATTCTTGTTTGAAAATAACAAAATGGGAAATTTTAGACTTGTTCATAACACTCACAAAAATTATAAAGTTTATGAAAAACAAATAGTGTTTTCAACATTTTAAAATAATAGTATCAAATTTTAATGTTCTTAAAAAGACTCAAATTATTGATATGACGACAAAGTGACCGATTTTTTGGTTTGACAACGAATTCAATGTTAAAGAAATTTATGATGTGACAGCAGAGTTGTTGTTTGTGTTATTTTGAAAACATAAAAGAATTATTTAAAACAAAATTTAATTGAATCAATGATAAAAAACAGATAATTACTCATGATAAACATTGAAAAGTTGTCGAAAATGAAGTACCCATTTTATTCACAGGTTTGTATAATTATTCAACTTGATAGAAGAATTGGATGAAGAGGGTTAGTACTATATTGATTAAGAAGAAAAGAATCTGTATATCTACTTGCCGGCTACAGTCAATAAAGTGTGGATATCACAAACCACTTCATTATTTATTAATGTACACACTTTTAATAATTTGACAATTCAAAATATCATATTTGAATATACACGAAAAATATGATGAACTTTTATTTATCAAATAATATTCTCGTCAAAAATTGCACTTTTAGACACTCGGGGTTAATAGGTATTTCTTTTTCGGGTAATTATTCAACAATAACTCATAACATTTTTTATGATATGGGAGCAGAGGGTGTAGTTATGAGATGTGGTTTGTTTTACATTGTATTGTTACAAGTATATTATTATAGCAATACTTTATCATTATTTAATATTGCTGAACTATAACAATACAATATATAACAAAATAATAAATTTAAATATCTTATTAAAACACTAATATTACTATAAAATATAGTTTAAATAACAATAAGGAAAATTAAATTCATTATATCGAGGAGAGTGCTATCTAACTTATAACTATGCTAACACGACGTCACAAGTATCATTACTTTTATACCCGCGTTTCTATTGGCATTGTTGGCAATTACATGAAGCACAATTTTGTAAAAAACAATCCCCATTTGGGGTATTCACACAATGGAGCGTATTTATAAATCTTTTTCAATGAACTAAAAATGTCTGTACTCGAGCTTCTGACTGTGGTGCATTGGATTCTGGTACACATTGGGAATATTCTGGTAATGTTATTAAGAACAACTTCTTCCACGACTCCACAGGATTTGGGCTTTCCGGTGGATTGTCTTTTGTTTTGGGAATTTAATTGGACTACAACCTTTCAAAGCGAAGAATCTACCAAAACATTATTTCAAATTTTGTTGGTTATGGTCTTGTGCAGGGCTCTGGGAGGTCCAACATTATTTATTACAACATATTTTATAATTGTGATACTGAATATAGGGGAGATTCTAGAGGATTATAAAGGTATCACACTACCCCAAACATGTTCTACAATTTACTGGACACGATGGTGAATAATGGAGTTGATAGATATACGTCTCGTTGGAAAGACAAATTTCCTCAATGGGCAGTGTTACCAAAAACGTCGGAAGAGTTAATGAAAGAAGAAATATTCATTGGCTGTTAATGGAGAACAGTGAAATATACTGTAACGTTTTCTATAATAACAAAAAGAATTACGCTTTTGCGGATCAATGTAACATGGATATGAAAAGGTGGGAGATGAACACTAATTCAAGTCAAGATCTAATGTTTTGTGATGTGGATAACAACGATTTTTTGATGAAAAAAAGGGGAAATTTACAAATACAATTGTTGGGAGAAAATACATTATGAAACTAAGGGATTAATAAACAAGACAATGCTTGTAGTGTCTTGGCGGATTTTTTAATAGTTATGTGTCTTGTTGTCTTCTGACTTTAAAAAATAAGTGATTATTACGTTTTTATTGTTTTTTAATAAAATATTAAATAATTTTATAATAATTAGATGTTTTCTCACAATCACAATGATCTATAAAATATTTATAGAATATATATGATACAAAAAATATACAACATTCAGTTTTACAAACGATTAATTCTAACAACTAAAGTAAAATATAAAACTTGACATTTGAAGTATAATTTTGTTTTTATACACTTCTCCATCTTAATTTTAAAGAGTTTTTATTTTTTCTTGTTTAAAACAGGTTAATTTGTTTATTTACATACGAGTTAAAAATTTATATTATCACTTAATTATTTTAAGTTGCTATAAAAATATTTGTTTTTTTTCACATTTTGTTTCTTTATGTTAAATTATAAAAGAATTAATAATCATTCAAATATTTTAAAACAAATAATTTTATTACATAATAAACATTTAAATTTTATATCAGCAACATTCATAGATATATATTTATGTTGCTAACATAATTAATAGATGATTGGTTGTAAAGAGATTGTGAATAAATATGTCTAAATAAACAATTGATTCAATAAATTTCAATATAATTATTTAAAAAAAAGTACAACTTTTCATTTTTTTCCATATTTTTTTATAAGGAAAAAACAAGAAATGTTTTTTTTTGGAAAACTGAAATAATAATATTATTGAACGTTGGTTAAATAATAATGATCTATAAAAAGTATAAAGAAACTAACCTATTTCAATAAAATAAAATTATATACAGTAAAAAGTGTCTTTTTGTAGGTTTTTCTATTTGTGGGTCAATGGACCAATCAAATGCAAAACCCACAAATAATTATTTTGCTCTCGAACCTTGAATTTAAGTCCACTTAGATAAATAATATAGTTTTTTATAATTAAAAAAAACTACTATATTTTCTATAACACTGATTTTTAATTGAAAAATTGGTGAAAAGAATTTACTTCACAATTCCGTGATAAACCCACAAATAAATATTTTTTCTCTGTTTAAAAAACCACAAATAAACACTTTTTACTGTATTCGATTTAAAAACAGTTTTATAAATTTCATATTACAAAAATCCACAAGGTTTTCTCATTCTCACATACTTTTCTCACAAACTGTATTTGTATTTTTCAGACAATTAAATTATATCAATAACAAATTAATAATATAATAAATATTGTGTTAATAAATTAATAAAAATATAAAATAAAGAAACAAATTAATGGAAAAATCTTCTGTTGCTCAAGAATAAGAGAAGAACACGTTGAATGCAATAATAACTTAGATTCAAGCCCAACTCTATGTAGAAAGACAGAAAGCTGACACTGCAGATGCATTTTGAAAGGCTGCTGATAGCAAATTGCAGTAAGTCCAAATAATACTATTATAATTGTTATTTGCTTCATCAACTTGGATGAAGCAAATAACACTGAAGAAAAAATGACTAAAAAGGCGAATGACTTGACATTCCAAGTTGATCAACTCACTGATGAGAAGAAGAATGAAAATGATTTAGAGGAAATGGACAAGATGATCAACGACTTGAATGCCGATGTCGACATGGCACAGAAACAACTTGACACTTCAAATGATGACAAAGATGGCAATGAAGCGATGAAACAGAAATACCAAGACAAACTGAAGAGCATTAGAACTGAACGTGATCAAGAAAACAAAGACCATGCCAAGACCCAATTGATTAAAGGCAAGTACGAGAAAGATATCGCTGAAATCATAAGGTTCATTTGCTCGGCAAATGTTTGTTTGCCCAACTGTATTCCAAAACTAAATAATCAATAACACAACCAATGACATAAATAAGGTTAGACAATTTGACCAATCATTTTCATCTAAAAGTGAATAAATACAGTTGATTTGGTAATAAATTTGAACAAAATAATAAGAAAATAATGTTAACAAACTTCAAGTAAAGTTATCAGTCTTTTTGAAAATCAACGACTTGATAAACTGGCTGTCTGAAACTCCACGATTTTCTTTTCTTGACGCTCACGAAGCAGCTTATTTCTTTGATTTTCGTTGTTTTGTTTTTCAGTTATAGTTGTTTAATTCGTTGTTGTATTTGATCATTTAATGCGTGTTCGGTAATATGTTTTTGAACATATCAATATTTTTTGTTTACGTCGAGTACCAAATAAATAGTTTTATTCGTTGATGAAAAAAAAGCTTAGTTTCTATGTTTTTAAGTTGTAAAAAAAAATCAACCAATCATATTCGATAAATAAGTTTAACAGAATAAATCAGATTTCCGTACTGACTTTAATCCTAATATAAACTGGTTTTCAAATTTCACTTCATAAAGTTAATATAAACTATTTGTATTTAAATTTGTTTTTTTATTAAACAATAAAAATGTTTTTATATTTAAACTATCTATATTCCACAAAAATAATAAGCAAAATTGTCTTTCAGGTATAAAGTTAATAAAAAACGCACAAAAATATAACTTGTTAATCAAATATAAAATTTAATCACCACAATTATTTAAATCCAATTTTAAAACAATTGGGTGTGTTCATTTTGGAAAAACAAGCGTTGTGTTTGCCCAAACCCAAAAGTTCGATTTTGATCAGTATATTGGTCGTTCTGTGGCAATAACTGTTTCTTTTTAACAATATGAATATTTTCACAATTATCAAGTTGAACATTTTCATTTACTTTTATAGCAACAGAACACTCTTTACATTGCTCTAATACTACATGTGAAGTCTCACTTTCAATATTCAAAACAATATTTTCGCAGTGTTCACACTTCACTCTTTGAGCATTAAGGTTCTGTTGTTCTTTAAAATCAGTGTTATTTCTCTCAATCAATTCTTCTGAACATAAGGAACATAAATTCCAAGGGATGTGCGAATTGTCAATTTCCATCTTAACAACGGCATCTTTTTCAGAAAACTGTTGACCACTAAAATTTTTAATTGTTGTGTTTTTAATTATCAACATTTCTATTTTGTTTCCAATTTGAAAATTAAGTGTTATAGATGAGTCGTACATTGAAATCGACCTATTGGCGCTATCCAACATAAAACCCAAATCTATACACTTCTTAAATATGACATTGGGTGCGCCAAGTAGAATAAGGCCTCCCGGTGTTGGATTAATGTAATTCACAAGTTCATAAGTCCCACAAACGACACTGCGCAAATTCGATAAACTCCCGCAGTAATTTTCAATTTTAACAGAGTTTAAAATATCAATTTTTTGAATCAAATGAATTGACTTTTTGGGCGAACAAACACAATTTCTTAATAAAAAATTTAGATGGTTCATCACTACATCCTTTAAGTTGACAGTGTCAGTTTTTGTGTCCAAGTCTCGCATGTTATTTATGGTCATTCTTGAATATGATGAGATTAATTTATCTTTAGCTGTATTATATTCCTTACAAGTCATCATCTCAGTGACACAAACATTATCTGCATTTTTGCTTTGTACTTTGTGGCAAATTAAATTAAGTTCTGATGGAAATTTGAAAGTTGAATTATTCGAAACAACACAATCTTTTATTGACTCAAAATTGCCAACAAATTGAATGTTTAGAACTGTTAAGTGAAAGGGTTTCCAACTTGTTTGTTTCAAACCAAAACTCACAATTGTCGCAGTAATCAACTTTCAGAATCGTACAAATTTCGAACGTATTTTTGAATACAAAATTGTTCATGTTAAATAAAAACACACTTTTTGTTTCTTTAAAACTTATTGGGATGAAGTCTTTGATTGAACAGAGTGTTATATTCTCTGCATTGATTTGGTGTGAACTTGTCAGTTCTGATTTGTTCACAATCAATTTAATTACTTTGCTTGATACCGTTGGTTTGACACAATCACCAACTGTTAATGAATTAATAACATTTTGTGTTGTCACACATATTTTGGCAACTTTTAAAATGCAATTTTAAGTCTTTGTCGTTCAAAAACACGAAATTTATATTTGTGAACATCTTAAAAGAAAAATAGTTGTGTTCTTCAGCGTCGATTGTCACCGTGCAATTATTCAATTGAATCATATTAATTTCATTGGCACAGTTTTTATTCACAAAAACGTCACAGTTGTTTGTGAATTCCAAATTTAACTTCTTCAACTGTTTCAACATCATAAAGTCAATTTCCTTTCTCAAATTTTTAATTGACATTTCTTCAACACAAACAAATGGAAAATTTGGTATACTTTCCCCACACCTTTTTAACACCTT